GCGAGCCGCCGTCGCTCTCGACGTCTGTCTTGACCGTCGAGTCGTTGTAGTCCGAGTTGCGCTTCTCCGTGTCGGAAGTCGCGTCGTCGGCGTGCGCCGGCGTAGCGTGCGCCGGCGCCGCGTTGCCCCAGAACGCCGGGCGCTTGATGTTCTTGATGAGGCTGACGGCCGACCCGAGGTGGGACGAGCCGGTCGAGACATCCTTCTCGTCCGTGAGCGAATCGAGCATGACGCCGCCATCGGCCGCGCGCACGTCGGCCTCGGTGATCTTCTTGGCACCGAGCGTGCGGAAGAGCTTGCGGCGCGCGGGCTTGGCGCTGGCGTCGTGGGCCGGAAACCCGCCCTTGGCGATCGTGTCCTTGAGCTTGGCGTTCTCGGCCTCGAGCGCTTCGATCTTCTTGTGCGCAACCTTGAGCGCCTCCTGCTCTTGCTTGAGCTTGACGATCGTGTTGGCCATCGCGAGCTCCTTGTCGAGCTTGAGCTTCTCGAGCTCCGACTTGAGCGACGCGAGGCTCGACTTCATCTCGTCGTTCTCCTTCTTGAAGATCGCGTTGGCGTCCTGGAGCGACCCAATCATGTCGGCCGAGTCGGAGATAATGGCCTTGTCCGTCGACTTGGTCGGCTGCGACTGCGCCTGCGCGAGCTGCGCGTTGCGAGCTTGCTCTTCGAGGAGACGCTGCTGCAGCATCTTGAGCTGGTACTGCATGTCGGCCTCCATCTTCTTCTCCTTGAGCGCGGCAAGGTACTTGGGACGCTCGAGGTGCATGCGGGCGTATGCTTGGACGCGGATGATGAGGCGGCGCTTCTTCTTGTACGTGATGCGCTTGGCGTACCCAAGAAGGTGGCGCTGGATGATGACAGCGCAGTGGTTGCGCTTGACTTCGAGTGCGACCTTGCGACCAAGGATGCCACGGATGCGCGCCTGCGCCTTGACGAGGCCCTTGAGGAACGTGTTGTAGCGGTGCATCGCGAGCACGCAGCGGATGACCGACTGGAGCTTGACGATCGCGCGCAGCTGGCGCAGGTACTTGATGCGCTGGGTAAAGCCCTTCATGATCTTCTGGAGGAAGCGCGCCTTCTTGTCCAAGAACTTCTTGCGACGGTCTTCGAGCTCCTCGAGCACGCCGAGCTGGAAGTAGATCTTGGTCCACCCCATCTGGTACTGCGCGGGCGACGTGAGCTTGAGCTTGGTCATGAGCTGCTCGCACTTTTCGCGCGGCTTGCCAGGGCCCGCTGGCACAAAGAGGCGGAACTTGGCCAAAAACTCTTCGTGCGTCTGTCGGTTCGGGTACGCAGCGCGTGAGATGCGAATGGCTTCAATGACACCGGCGCAGCGCAGCTGCGAGACAACCATCGCGTTCTCCATCGTCGTCGCGCTCTTGATCGAGTTGGGCTTGATGCAGCGCACGTACTGCACGTTCGTCGACTGGATCGTCGTCATGAGCTCCGTCAAGCTGTCCTTGAACTGCGACCCGACGGTCGAGATGTTGAGCGTACCGCCACGACGGCGACCGGCCGGTACCTCTTCCTTCTTGACCTCGACGACCTTTTCTTCAAAGAGCTTTTGGATGTACGTCGTGTCCGAGCCGCGCATGAGGTCCGAGAGATCCGGGAGCAGGTTGTCCTTGTGCTTCTCGAGGAACCCGAGCGACTCGTACTTGACAGGCGCCGCGTAGTGCTTGATGATAAACTCGGTGCGCGACGTACGCGGAAACTCGATGACGCTGGGCTTGTACAGGTCCTTGTTGATCGACGAGATCGTCGACATAAAGCCGGCCTCCGAGCCCTTGGTCTTCTTGAGCTCTTCGTTCAGGAGCGAGATGATACCGATGCGGTCTTCGATGACGTTGAGCACATCTTGGTTGTCCGAGAACTCGATGTGCTCCCACTGGATGCCCTCTTCCTCGTACTCGATCTGTACCGTCTTGAACACGTCCGACGTGAACTTTTGCTGCAGCTTCTCGTTGGCGTAGTTGATGCAAAATTGCTCAAACGAGTTGAACTTGAAGTGCTCGAACCCAAAGATATCGAGCACGCCAATGTGGTTGGTCATCTTGGCGTCGTTCGACAGCGACAAGTTGATGAGCTCGACGAGCCAGTCAAAGACGCGCGAGTAAATGGCCTTGGCGAGCGCGTCCAAGCACGCTTCCGCGTCGCTCTAGGATAGCTCGATGAGAGACTGTCGCCACAACATGGGACGTGTACCTTCTTGAGTGGCACGCTGTACACGTCGTTGCGCGCCCGCATCGTGCGCGAGCAGAGCGCCTTCTCGAGCGACTCCATCGTGAGGCCCATGAGCTGCGTAATGTACGTCGCCGACACGTCGCCGGGCGCGATCATCGACTTTTCGTCGTCGGACGGGTCCGAGATGATCTGCATGTTGCCGAGGTGCAAGATACCGGCAAGCGTCTTGTAGAGGTCGAGCTGCGCCGACGCCGAGTAGCCGATGAGGCTGAGGCGCTCGGCCGTGACCGTAAAGTGGTGTGCGTCCGACTTGCCTTCGATGAGCGCCGTGCTCTTCTCACCAATGTACCGGTACGTGGCGTCCTGGTCGAGGAAGAGCGTCTTGGCCATGTCCCCCGAGTCAATGAGCTACAGTTTGCAACGTGAGAACCGATCCGCTGCATGCATTGCCATGTACCTGGTAGAAAATGTGGTAATTGCGCTCGGGAAACTCGTGGCCAATGACACGCGTCTTCTCGAGAAGGTACGTCTTACACTTGGCGCCGACGAGCGTCCCCGCGCGGTCAAACTGGAGCTGGGTAAACTTGCCGAAGCGCGAACTGTTGTCGTTGCGGACCGTCTTGGCGTTACCAAAGTACTCGAGCAGCGGCGAGACTTGGATGATCTTCTTGATCGTGCCATCGTTCATGCCACCGGCGATCGTCGCGAGGTGGTTCATGAGAATCTTGGTCGTCTCGGTCTTACCCGCGCCGGATTCGCCACTGACAAGAATCGACTGGTTGCGGCTGTGCGTCTTCATGTTCTCGTACGACGCGACCGACGTCGCGTACACGTGCGGCGGCAGCTCTTCGCGCGGGATGTTGAGGTACCGCACGTGCTGCTCTTCCGCATACAGCTCGGGCAGCCACTTGTACGGGTTGACAGCAATGCAGATCGTGCCCGTGTACGTGTACGGGAGCTCGCGCAGGAAGCGCTTCTTGACGTTGTACAAGATGGCAGCCTCATGGAGGTAGTTCAATGTGATCATGTCCTCGATACCGTCGTCGCCGACGTTTTCGTTCTGGAACGGCAGCGTGTCGACGGCGTCCATGGCTTCGCCCTTGCCGCTCATGAGCGCGCGCGTCTTCTTGTCATCGAGGTCAACCACGCGCTCCTCGACGTGGCCGTCGACGGTCCAGACCTTGCATGTGATCTGCTTCGTGCCAGCCTTCTGCCCGACGACCTCGGCCGGCAGCCATACGTCGACCTCATCGGGCACGTAGCAGAGCGCCCCGGGCACCATCTCGAGCGACGACATGGTCTTCCGTCGGTCGATGCGAACGAGGAAGATGGGCGGACTCCGGAGGTCCGCGATGGAAAGTAAAGTGAGGCCCCAAAGCCCGTACACCCGATCCAAACATAGTACGTACATTGCCGTCCGTTCCATGTACGACAATGGACGGCCGTTCCATACAAATACCAAATGCGGCGGTCGACCGGACGGCGAATGGACGTACGGCTTTGCAGTCAATGACACATTTTTATTCGGTTGTCGTATCTTGCCCCACTTCGGGCTTGAAAGCTATGGGCCAAAGGCGCTTTTTTTAATTGCGCCGCGTCGTCAATGACATGGCGGGGTGTGGAGAATGTACGGCCGTACATGCTCTCGCATTGGTGGCGATGAAGCCAAAGCAGCCGCGCGCCAAGTTGAACTTCTTTTCCTCTCCATCGCACACCCAACTTGATGCTCATACCAGGGCGAGGTAGACATTCGATGCATGTGCACCATGCGAGGCTGGCCGGAGGAAGAGACGACCGACGACCAGCTGGAGACACAACGCCACAGCAGCGTGCGACACGCGCGGACGCGGCCATTGCCAATACGAGCACTACTGCGATGGCGACGAAGCGCGCAAGGTAGAGACGGGTGAGTGTCGTCGTTGCCTTGGTCGAGGATCGGACGCGCGCAGCGCGCTGTGGTTGGGTTGTACACCAGCTGATACTACGCGCGAGATGGTCCTGAGAATTCTGCAATGGCGTCCGCAAAATTTCGTGCGGTTGGGCTTCTAAATGCGGCAAACTACCCGCAAAAGTCCGGGTTTTGTGACCGACAGCCGCTTATTTTCGGCATGGCGTGCCACGTCATGTGTGGACCGCGTGCGTTCGCGTCATGCGAGAGGATTTCCTCGTACACATTCAATGCCATGACAGTCTTGTGCAATTGCAGTTGATATTGAGCTGAAAAGACTTGGTGTAGAAGCTCATACATATATATATACCGGTACCGGTTTCGTTGTGACGTCTGCGCACAAGGAGAGCGGACGTGTACCTTGTAGCGTGCTCCTTCAAATCGCAGCAAATGCATGGACCAGGGCATAGACGAAGGCTTCTTGTTTGTGGGATTGTATAGTCGGTGCTCGTCCTTTGCGTGACGACGCGCAGCCGTGCGCCTCCGGGTTGCCCACGTCTCTTCTCGCAACGTCGTTGCGGCGAGTAGCTTTAGAAAGCTTCCCCGACTGCGCCTCGTAGTCGATGATGCCATGGTTCGAGACGAATGGTTTCGACAAATTTGACTCGTTTCAACATTTCACAAACGAATGTACTAGTATGTGGGCAACGTGTGAAATGCAGCTTGAATTCCCACCATAAACATCTATTTCACACTTGCATTTCACACCATCGTCAACCAGTAGGGCAACACTGAGGATCGGTAAGCTGATGGTCATAGCACGCAGGCGCCAAACTGTGAATGCAATGCCTCCTCGTGTAGCGTGGCGACCAGCGGCTTCCGCTCAGCTTGCCATTCGTGTCCTCTGTCCACATTTGAATTTTCCAGTCGCTGGGACACGACCCATTTGGCTCGCCCAGGTTCGACCAACCGCCAACCGTTCGGTTAGAAAGAGCCTGGAGATGGTACGTGACTCACGCTCGCCGGTCGCCATTTCACAAGCCGTCTCGGCCTTCGCCGGTACGCGGCCGCGCCGACGACGCCGACGCTCATGCGATGTTTGTAGCGGTAACATGTACGACTCGTTCAACTCGCCCCGGAACAACGCAGGCGGTCTCATGGACCAAGGCCAGTATGAGACGCTTCTCAGCGAAGTGTCCAAGGCCGTCGGGCAGTTCAATGGCATCATCCGCTCGATCGATCAAAAGGTAGTGATTGCGTCGTGCATCGTAGCTACATCATGACGTAGGTTTCGCTCTATGGCACGTCGCTGGACTCGCGCGCCAACCACGAGAAGCTCACGGAGCTCGTCGACAAGGGCAACAAGCTCGTGGGCAAGATCCAGAAGCGGCTCAAGCTGCTCACGGACGACGTCAAGAACAAGAGCGGCCCAAAGGCCAAGGCGCGTGCGACAGCCGTGAAGAAGCTCTCGTCCGACTTCAAATCGCAGCTCGAGCTCTTCCAAAAGAGCTGCGAGACAGTGGTCGCGGCCGAGACGCAGGCCGTCGACAACATTCGCCGGTCGTCGTCGTCGTTTGTGCAGCCCAAGGGCGAGACGAACGGCAACAACTTTTTCAACTACAACGAAGACCAGATTTACGCCCAGGCCCAAGTGACCACGTACGACGAAGACGACATGATGCGGCGCGAAGAAGACATTATCCACATCAACCACCAGCTCAAGGAGATCAACGCTGCATACAAGGAGATCGACGGCCTCGTCCAAGACCAAGGCGAAGTCATTGGTACGACTTGCATCCGTTGCGAAATGGATGCTGATGATGTTGATACTAGTCGAGATTACCGACAACATTGACAACGCCCATGAAAACGCTGAAGAGGGCTTGAACCAGGTCAAGCAAGCCGACATGCGGAAATCCTACTGCGTCTGCACGAAGCGCAAGATGATCTGCTATGGCGTGCTCGGCCTCATCCTCGTGCTGCTCGTCCTGACGTTGGTCCTCGCGCTCGGCAAGAGTTAAATGCTTGTGCGCTCCTCATGTACACACATTTTCCATCGTTTTTGTTGAAAAATCGCAAATATTTTGCAGGAAATAGAGGCGATATGACCAAGTAATCGACCGTTGACCGCCAATATGTACACTTTTGTCCCGTCATGTCTTGTGTCTTGTTCCGGGTGACGCACGGTTGCAGTTGAAGTGCAAGTTGGCGCGTTTTCGCAGGAGCCGATTCGGCAAAACATCAACATACTAACCTACTGCGTACCATGCAAAGCTGCGCTCGAGCGATGCATATCTATGGCATGGCCCAGGCGTGAAGCTGGGTGTGACGAGGCGTGACTGCGTGTGCGTGGCGGCAGCTCGGACGTGCCGAAAATAAAATCTGGTCGCGGCACATGCCGCCTCGTGTATCGGCGCGCTTCTCTGTTGGTTACCTGAACAGCAGCTTTGATTGGTCCAAAACATCGCAGGCGGCTGCGTTTGATTGGCCACTGCGCGGAATCTACTTCGAAATTCGGCACCAACTGCCTGGGCCTGTGAGAACACTTGGTGTTTGTATGGGCGGTGGCTCGAAGCGAAGTTGGGTGCAAAATATCGAAGGATTCCAAGTGTATTTATTTAAATACCATAATAAAAAGGTGGCCGAGATCCAAGACCGGCAGCAGCAGCAGCATGGCAGGTACGCCGTCGCGCCGACGCCATCGGAGGATCGCCGTCGATATCGCCGTGTCTGTCTAGTGACAGAGCAATGTGTAGTGTACAGCTGGGGACGCGGCGAAGACGGCCAGCTCGGGCTCGGCGATACCAGCGACCAGTACCGGCCCGTGCTCGTCGAGGCGCTCCGGGACAAGTGCGTCGTCCAGATCGCGTGCGGCAGCGGCCATACCGTCGTGCTCGATGAGAATGGCGATGTATATACGTGGGGCCGCGGCGACGACGGGCGGCTGGGCCATGGCGACAACGGATGGAAGTTTGTGCCACGCCTGGTCGAAGCGCTGCACGGAAAGCGCATCAAGCAGGTCACATGCGGCAGCTACCACACCGCCGCCGTGACCGTCACAGGGGAGCTATATACGTGGGGCGGCGGCATGTACGGCAAGCTCGGCCACGGCAACGAAAGCGGTCACTCGGTGCCGTACCTGGTCGATACGCTCTCCAACCACAAGGTCGACCAGGTTGCTTGCGGGTCGCGCCACACGGTCGTGCTCCTCGAGAACCGTGACGTGTACACATGGGGCGACAAGGAGAACGGCGTGAGCGGTCACGGTGATACGGACGGCCATCAGTACCTGCCCTGTGCAGTCGACGAGCTCAAGGACAAGTCCATCATGCAGATTGCCGCCTGCGGGTTTCACACGGCGGCGCTCAGCGGTACATACTATTTCTTCTGCGAGAGGTCGACGCTCATGTGCACCCGGTTGTCTAGAGGAGGGCGAGCTCTACACATTTGGCGAAGGCAAGTTTGGCCGGCTTGGTCACAACAGCGAGCGCAACCAGCTCGTCGCGCGCGTCGTCGAGACGCTGCACGGCAAGCGCATCAAGCAGGTCGCTTGCGGCGGCTTCCACACGGCTGCGGTCACTGGTAAACTTGACAGTTGCATCGACTGCTTGATCTCATACGTATGGTCTAGATACGGGCGAGATTGTACGACGTTGGCTGCGCTGCAGGATCCATCACATGCGCTGTCTAGTTTACATGGGGCGGCGGTGAGCACGGGCAGCTCGGCCACGGCGACAAGGTCAACAAGACGATCCCGTCGCTTGTCAAGCACCTTGCCGACAAGGTTGTTGTGCAAATCACGTGTGGCTGGAGCCATACCGTTGCGTTGACGGGTACGTCTGTGCCCACTAGTGTCGTTTACGTATATATATATGTAGAGAACGGCGAGGTCTATACGTGGGGCAACGGCGACCACGGCAAACTCGGTATGGCGTCTGGGACCCTACCCCTCGAAGCGACACGTTCCTGCGTAGGCCACAACGACCAAGTCAAAGTGACGTTGCCCAAGCTCGTCGAGACGCTTCAGTCCAAGCGCGTCGTTTCGATCGCGTCGTACAATGAACACACGGTCGCCCTTGTCGGTACCTTTTTGTATCAACTTGATACATTGCAACACTCGACTCGATGATATTAGATCCTGTCGCGATGCTTCGGCCGTCGCTGCTCACCTCGACGTACGCCGCCAACATGCGGTCGCTCATCGACCAGCCCGAGTTTGCCGACGTGGTGTTTCTCGTCGACGGCCGTCGCGTGCACGCCCACCGCGCGATCTTGGCCGCGCGCTCGGACCACTTTAAGGCCATGTTTAGCTCGGGCATGCGCGAGGCGCGCGAACTTGAAGTGCACGTCGAGACGATTCGCGCTGCGGTGTTTCTGCTCTTGCTCGAGTACATGTACAACGACACTGTCGACGTGCCGACGCCGGAACTCGCCATTGAGCTCTACGCGGCTGCCGACATGTATACGCTCGACCGCCTCAAGGGCTTGTGCGAGCTCGTCGTACAGAAAGGCCTCACCGTCGAGAACGCTGGCGTCCTCTTGAGTGCGGCCGACGAGCTCCACGCAGGGCGACTACGCGACCTCTGCATGCATTTCATCGTGCGCCACTTTGACACAGTCACCAAGACGGAGGGCTTCCAACTGCTTAGTCGCGAGCTTATTCTCGAGACACTCCAAAACCGATAAGCCATGTACGACAAATCTACTAATCTACTAATCTACTAATCTACGGTGCCGTCTTGTACGCTGTCGTTGACCTCGAGAGAAGAAGGCTAGCGTCCCACGGACGCCGTCACCACTAACTAGGAGGACAACTAACGTCAGGGATATGCGCTCCGTGCTGTCCCCGCCACACTCGCCGCATCACCGCTACACTGTCGAGTCGCCCACCCTAACCCTGCCCACCCCTACCCCAAGTACGTGCCATGCACGTTATGATGAAATAGGGTTCGGGCTCGCTTGGCGACGATGGTATTTTGACCAAGTGGACACGATTGTCTGCGTCCGTCAGTCACTAATGTTTTGCCTGTTATCGCGGACCGAGACCCTAACTACTCCTATCGCTACGGCACTGGACTTAGTCGTCCTACTCGTCGCCCTTCTTCTTGCGGCGGGGCGTCGACTTGGCCTGCTTCTGCAGCGCCAGCTTCTTGTTGATAAACTCGGTCGCAAACGCAGAGACCTTGGGCGTCGACCCGAGGTTGGCAGCCAGCGTCTCGCGGATCTCACCAGAGTCGTCCAGCGTCGCGCAGTACTGGATGAGCGTGAGGTCGTCGCTCGCGCCGAGCTTCTTGAGCTGCTTGCCGCACCACACCATGAGGTCGTCCGAGAGCCCGCCAAAGTCGTCGGCCGCCGATGGTTTCGCCTGGTTCTTGGCGTCAAAGTTCCAAAACGACGCGTCCACCGCCGGCGTCGCAGATGTTGGCTTGGGCGGCGTCGGGGCGACGCGCTTCGGGGCGGCCACGACCACGGGCGCCGCCCCCGTGACGACGCTGCTCCAGCGCGACGGCGCTTTGGGCTGGCCGTCGACCGCACTCGCCTTGAGCAACGCGAGACGCTCTTCCTCGGCCAAAATATCGCGCAGCGACTTCTTGGCCGTCTCCACCGGGGCCGGCGCGGCCTTCCATGCACTCGCGACCGGCTTCTTGGGCGACGGCTTCTTGGGCGACGGCTTCTTGGGCGACGGCTTCTTGGGCGACGCGGTGACGCCCAGCATCATCTTGAGCTGCGCGCCCATATCAGCAAGCTGCTCGTCGGCCGGCGCCTCGGACGGCGCGTCGTGCATCTGTTCGAGGCGGCGGCGCATGTCCTTTTGCTCTTCTTCCTGGATCTGCTTGAGCGACGAAGCCGCCGGGCTCTCGTTGCCCCAGCTCGTCGCCGTATTCGTCGGCGTCTCCGGCGACTTTTTCTTGGCCTTCTTGGCCGCCTTGGTCGCACTCGGCTTGGGCGACTCGACGTCGACCGGCTTCTTTGGCGACGGCGTCGGCTGCGGCGACAGAGGCTTGTGGCCCCACGCCGATGGCGCTTCGTGGGTAGCCCCGGGCGTCACGGGCTTCTCGACCGCCTCGTCGCGCGGCTTTTCGTCCGCGGCCGCCGACGGGTCAAAGATACCGAGCGCTGCGAGGATCCCCGTGCGCTGGCTCTGCTGCCACGCGGACGCGTCCATCGGCGGGTGCTGGAGGTGGTGCTGTTGCTGTTGCTGTTGGTGGAGGAGTTGCTGATGCTGGCGGAAGAGCAGTTGCTGGTGGTGCAATTGCTGCTGCTGTTGTTGCTGCTGCAACATCGCCATGCGCGCGTGCTCGTGCTGGAGGTGGTGCTGCTGCTGGAGGTGGTGCGCCTGGCTCAGTTCCATGCGCTGCATCTCGAGACGCATGCGCTCGTCGGCGAGGCGACGCTGCTCCAAGAGGCGCTGCTGCTGGAGCAAGTACTGCTGCTGCTCGAGCTGCTTTTGCTGCTGCAGCGCTTGCTGCCGGGCTTGTTCCTGCGCCTTGGCGGCCGCGAGCGCCTGGGCTTGCGCTTGGGCTTGGGCTTGGGCTTGGGCCTGCGCTTGCGGGTTGGGGCTCGGGAGCGAAGCGAATGGGATTTGGCCGTGGCGAAAGTGGTTGGCCAACGACGCAAACTCGCCTTCGTGGCCAAACCGAATCGGCAAATGCGGCTTAAAGTACCCGGCTTCAAACCATTCGCGCATCTCCGCCGACTTGAACGGGCCTTGCTGCAGTCCCTGCGGATCCAAGTAGAACCACGCATCGACGGGCGGCGAGACGTGGAGCGTGGGTGTGGCCGGCATGTTCCACGACATGCCCGCGAGGTCTGCGAGCGGATTCGCCGCCGTCAGCGACGGACTCGCCTCGTCATCGGCTTGCTCGTCGGCCTTGGCAGGCATGTCCCACATTGGCGGCTCTTCGTCCTCTTCGACGCTGTCCTCAAACTGCCCGTCGCTTTCGAGAGACACCTGCGCCTTGAACTAGATAATCATGAGACGTGCAATGCTGTTGTGTTGCGTACTTCGGGGCGCGTCGTGCCGTTCAGTCGATGCATCTCGTCCATCTCGACACGGAATTGCTCGGCCGCATGCGCAAAGTCGGACAGTCCCTATGCAAGAGATCGGCATGTAGCACCGTGGGCACCGCGGTACCATATCGAGCGTGTCGCCGCCCGTGTCCACGTCATCCCACAAGTCGTTCTCCTTTTCAATCTTGGCGCCGCGCTCCCAATGGTCGTCGCCCTTCTGCAGACGAGATGAGATGCGCGGCCAGATGCGTATGTACCTTGTCGCCCCATTGTCGGCCATCGCGGTCCGTCAGGTCGTCCGATCCCCGGCGAGGGCCCTTCTCCGCGCCGTCTTCCATCGAGCTCGCGCGCCCACGCGTCGGGGCGCTGTTGCCGTTGGTACCCCGCGTGTTGTTGTTGCCATTGTTGTTGTTGTTGTTGTTGTTGGTGTTGTCGCCAGTCGCTCGCCCGCGGCCACGGCCCCGGTTCCGGTTGAGCGCCCACTGCTTGTAGATTTCTTCATAATCGAACGGGAGGTTGCCGACGGGCGGAAGCGCGTCCGGTGAAATGACGGGCGTGCCTTCCGGAAGGTCGGGCGGCGCCGTGCTCACGACGTGCAGTGCAAGGAGCTCTTCGCGCGTGTACCGGAGCACCGAATCGTTGCTGCTGCTGGCACTGTTGTCGGCGGTCGTCCGGCTGGGTGCTTGTCTACCTTTGGCCTTGCGGCGGTCGTCGCCATTCGCCCTCTTCTCGCTGTCCTTGTTCCATGTTGGCAGGAAGCTCTCGGCAGCCGTCTCGCTCGGCCGCGCGCGGCCCTTCATGGCAAACATCGTCTTCGGACGCAAGTTCATGGACGCATCGTGGCCCGTGTCCGTGTCATGCGTCAGCTCCATCGCGTCGCTTTCTCGTTGCTCGTAGTCTCTCCGTCGGGGGGTCTTGCTAGATTTTTTGTTGTGGTTCTTTTTGTGGTTGCAGCTGAAACCATACAAAACCCAAGTGATTTCGCGACCTGCGGCTTTTAATGTTTCCTCGCCACGTATGTACTTTGACGGGCCGCGCCGACCGCGACCATTGACCAGGGCAGGCCGCCAAGCGCCACGACCGCCGGTCTCGTACGCCGCCATGGCCCTCGGCGCGCGCGCGACCCTCGGCATTGAAGCCACAGCGCGCGTTTCTCGGTCACCTCATAGTACCGGCAAGCGGCGCGGTGCTTCGTCAGCAGCTTTCGCTCGCCGAATCCAGCTGCGCGTGATGGTCTGCTTGAAGCCCACTGCAAATGCGATAACCATGGGCTCGTCGTCGTTCGCCAAAGGCGCGTGGCAGGCGGCGCGAGCAATGTTTGCGCTGGCGAAGCGTGGTCGCCGGCTTGTCGCACCGTGTGGGCGATGTGCTGCGTCTCTACCAACGGCCGCAGAGAGAGGCGTCGTCCAACGCAGGCGCGTAGTAGCGCGACACACCCAAAGACAAGGCAATCGACAACCTTACATTACAACTGGAGGATGACGGCGACGACAACAACATCATTGGACCGTCCGTAGTATGGACTGCAGGACTAGAGATCTTTGGCGTCTGACCCGTCCGTCGACAATGGCGCAAACGCCGTTGCGCTGCGCTGCTCGGGCAGTGGCGCTGGTGCTTCGGTCGAGGACGGTGTACACTTCATCTCCGCGAGCTCCGCCGCCGTAAACGTATCGGGATGGCCTGGCGACGTCGGGTTGGGTCGCACGGGGAGGCCGACGCGCCACTCGCAGCACGGGTCGCCGAGCTCTTCACCGTTCGTGGCGCCGTCGCCGTCCGAGTCGAGCGCGCAAATGGCCGCGTTCCAGCGCCCGCCACCCCGCTCAAAGTCGATGCCAAACTGCGTTGGCTGGCCGCCGCCCACCTTGTTGACGTGCCCGACAGCTCCAAAGCCCTTGACGCTCAGGCCGTTCGGGATGCGCAGCCGGTACGTCGAGAACGCACTTGTCGTCGCGAGACTGAGCGCTACGACAAGCAGCGCTGTGCGCAGAGCTGCCATCTTCAACTTTAACGCAGGTTTTATTCCGGCGCACGCCGATTGGTCCGCGCAACGGTCGTCGTCGCCGGCTCCACGTGGCGAAAGGACGTGCTGGGAAGCTCGAAGGATACCGGAAGTCGTCCTCGCCACTCCCATTCGACGACGCACCATGCAAGCGAGCGCCGCCGCCCCCGCCACGTCACGCTGCAGTAGCACATCTAGAGAGAATGGTCATTTTCCGTGAATCAGCTTGGCCGACTGTTTAATGCGACGCAACTTGGCGGCCGGGTGCTTGCCCATGCGAGGGCTGCACGGGAGCTCGCTCCTTCCCACCATGTAATCCAGCGCGCACGCAGTGGTAGTGGCGGCAAGGCGGTATGCGAGGGCGTCTAGCGCTGGCGGGCGGCAAGGGGCGCGTCGCTTCCGTTGAAAATGGCGTGCGATTAGCCAGACTTTCGAAAGCGCCCGGATCCGGTTACGCTGCTTGAAGATGATCGCTCGAATTTTGTTCGATTGTCGGATCGAAGAAGCCAAGGCCGAGCTCATTTCCGCGTCTGCCACCCGCCGATGTTCTTCTGGCGCCCGTCGTTGTCGTCGCCGCCGCCGCCGGCCAAGGAGAGCGCGCTCGTCGAGCTGCCCATCGAGCTCCTCGCCAAGGTCCTTCTCTACTTGAATCATGTCGAGGCCCACCGGCTCGAAGCGACGCATTCCAAGTTCCGAGCGCAAGTCGAAGGCTTCAACTGCTGGAAGGCCGACGCCGTGCTGAGCGTCGCCTTTGACAAGGCCAAGTGGTTCCAATACGTCGCGGGCCTCCATGGCCCGATGCCATCGCACCTCAACCGCCGGCAGTACCCGTGGAAGCGCCTTGCATGCCTCGCGTCGCTCGCGACCACTGCCAAGTTTGGCCAGACCGAGCTCATTCTCGATGTCATTAGTACGCCGACGTGTGCCATGGATAGCGCTTCTGACATGACGTATTTCGTATAGAGTACTCGTCGGCCGATCGGGACAGCGAAGCCCCGGCCAACACGCTCAAGCCGTCCAAGTGCTTGCGCGAGATCCAGCGCTACGAGCGCTCGGAAGAGCTCTTGCTGCCGTACAATTTGCAGGAACTGCCAACGTTCACCATGTTTCGGCTCCTCACGCGACGCAACTCGTCGCTCGGCGAGACGATTCAAATGCTGTGCGGCTGCTCATCGGGCAACTCGTGCTACTGGAGCAGGTACTACTTTGCCTTTATGAGTGTACTAAGATGGGATGCGTAGTGCGGCGTCGACCGATCCGCATGCGACCGACTCGATCTACTACCGCATGCGCGGACCGTGCGTCGTACAATCGATCGAGGTCGTGCCCTACCGCGTATTTTGGCACCCGGGTGCACCCACGTACGGTCCGCGCCAAGTGTCTTTTTCGTTCTTTGCCGACGTGGCCGACACCGAGCCATTTTATACGACGCCCGCCTATGACGTCCGCAACGAAATGACGGTACGCTTTGACAAAGACGAAGCTGGACATTGTGCGTAGAGCCAAGTGTTTGCGCTACCCCATCGGGTCGTGCTGCAAGGTGGCTACTTTGGCGTGAACCTCCTCGGACGCCAGCAAGCCCAGACGTTTGACATTCCCGTATGGATGCAGCAGCCGGGCCCGGCGGACCTCGAAGCAAATTTGCCCAAGTATTACTGTTGCCTCAGTAAAGTGAGTGCCAAGGGCGTTTTCATGGACCGTGCGCCGGCGACAGCAGCGCTTGCCATGCCGTAGACGTCATCTTCTTTTGCGTGTGCATGAACCTTGCGTTTAACCCATGATAACATCGTATCCCGTCACCTTACATCGACGCACTTCGGACAGTAGGACACTGCACGGCGCGAGTGGACAGCGTCCGAGCGGACGGTCGGCTTCCGTCGGACGGCGTTCGACGTCGTCCTTTCTGCGTCTGGCTCGCTCAGCTCGCTCATGCATCGATGCCATTGGCTGTTCTAAGTTTATATCTCGTCGTTGATTGGCCAACGCAGATTGCACTTTGATTTGCGTCTTGTATGGAAGCCCACTGAGTTCATTCCGATTCGAAAAGATGCAAACCACCGCCCGGCGCCTTGGCGCGCTCGGACTCGTCCTCGTCGGTGGCGACTACGCGTCCGAGTAGGACAATTCGAGGCCGTATGGAGCTAACGCGTATGTAGCCATGTGCCATCGCGCGCCGGTCGCGTCGCCTACGCGGGCGCGTCGACGTTTGTCGACTTCAAGCTTCACGTGCCCAAGAAGCCTGCGACGACCGCCACCGAGTCTGACTTTGGCCCACCGTCGTCCATTGACGCCAAAGACCCGGCCATGGTCGCGTACAAGAGCGCGCTGCAAGCGTTCAATTTGCGCACGGCGGAGCGACTGCTGCACTTGTGCTTGACGAACGGCGGTGTGTTTACCAAGATGGGCCAGCAAATTGCATCGATGAACCACGGCCTGCCCACCGAGTACACGTCGACGTTGAGCCAGCTTCAAGACCAAGCACGGCCCGTATCCGGCGCGGTAGGCGATCGTGCTGGCGACGGTGCGAGATGTGTGCGTAGGAAGCCAAAGCGGCCGTCGCCGCCGAGCTCGGCGCGCCGATCGATAAACTGTTTTTCGAATTTGACGAAAACCCGATCGCAGCGGCGTCGCTCGCGCAGGTGCACCGCGCGGTGACCAAGGACGGCGTCGAGGTCGCAGTCAAGGTGCAGTACCCGGCGCTCGCCGTGCAGATGGGCTCGGACCTCTGGAGCGTCGCGCAAGCCATTCGCGCCATGAACTACACGTGGGACATTGACATGTCGTGGCTCGTACCCGAGATGGAAACAGCGCTATATGCCGAGGTCCACATCTCTCCGTCAATATTCAGGCGTTGACATTTGGTCTAGTTGAACTTTGACGCGGAGAAGCAAAACAGCCGCAAGATTGCGCATTTGTTTCAAAACAACCCGTTTGTGTACATTCCCAAGGTACAGATATTGTCTTTGTATCAAGTTGATAGTTGAAGCTGATACAGTTTCGCTAGGTGCTCGATAACTACAGCACGACGCGCGTGCTGACGATGGAGTTTATGCGCGGGGCCAAAGTCACCGACACGGACGCGATCGAGCGCATGCACCTCCGTCCGCTCGTCGTCGCCAAGCACGTCTCGTCGCTCTTTGCCGAGATGCTCTTTTGCTCGGGCTTCGTGCACTGCGACCCGCACCCGGGCAACCTCTTTGTCCGCCCGCACCCGACGCTGCCGAATGAGGTCGTATAACGACTAGAGTGTTCGTACTAACTCTTATTGGTGCAGGCGCAAATCATCCTCCTCGACCATGGCCTCTACCGGCAGCTCGATGAGACCTTTCGCATCACCTTCTGCGAACTGTGGAAGGGACTGTTGCTGCGTGACGCAGCGCTCGTCGACGCGTGCAGCGACAAATTTGGCATCAAGCAGTATGCCAAGCTGCTCCCGCTCATCTTTACGTACCGCGGCATGCACAGCAACAACAAACTCGCGGGTCAAATCTCGGCGGCCGACCGCGCTGCGATCGTCGAAGATCTCAAGGCGCTTGAGCGCGGCGACGTACGTCCTTGGATGATAGACGATGAAGGATATCGTGTTGATATTTTGATACTTAGGTGACGGCGTTTCTCGAGACGCTGCCGCGCGACATGCTCTTTGTGCTGCGCTCGACCAACTTGACGCGTTCGCTCAACAAGGAGCTCGGCGGCTCGTCGCGGTACGAAACAAGTTAAGAAGGAAGCGTCTTCACGTCGCGTGATTGTAGCCAACGCTTCCACGTCTTTGGCAAGTACGCCATGAAAGGCCTCGTCCAGGACCACGCGCAACGCGACGCGGTGGCCCCCATGACATGGCGCGAGACGCTCTGGTGCGTGCATCTAAAAAAACGCAGTTGTGAACCAACAAACGCAGGTTTCAGTACGAGTATGCCAACTTGAAGCTGCGCCTGCGACTCATTGACACTGCGATGGGGCTCTACCAGCGCTACTACGGCATCGACGTCGGGCCCGACAAGGCCACGGGGTAGTGTGTGCCGTAAACTCTGTCGCCGCCCAAGCAGCACAAGGAGCGAGTTCAAAAGAGCTACTACAGTAGTGAGTTGTACTAACTTTACGGCTACGGATCGTGCGAGTGACGACGCGGTGAGAGCTCGGAGGGGCGCCGGGGTGACCGTGGCGACGGCGCGCCTCCGATGAGCGCCACGGGCTTGTGAGGTACGAGGGCCGCGAGTGGCTTGTCCGCATCGCGCAGCTCTGGGGCCTTGGTGCGTACTGGCAGCGCGGGCAGGACCGTCGTGCTTGGCACGGGCTCTTCCGCCAGCCATGTGCTAGGAATTTAAAGGGAAATGAGGACTTGGTCGTGTGGACTACCGCTTCTTTGGCGACGACGAGCTCTCTGTGATCGGCTGGAGCTTGGAGGTGTGGTTGCCCTTGGTCGGTTTGAGTCGCGCTGTCGCATTGGTCGTATTGGCGAGAACGGCCACGGACGTTTTTCGCTGTTTGATGAGGTACTTGTGCGGGGCGGCTTCAAGGAAGCTCTGAAGCTGACTTCGAAGCTCCCGAAAGTCCACGGGCAGCGCTGCAAAGTACAAGGCGCCTTGGGCCATGCACTACGCGGTGATACGAACGACGAGCAATCCAAGTCAGCGCGTACGGCCTCCGACATGCGCTGCGTGAGCGCCGGATCGGCTTCGTCGCCGCCAACGACGATAACCGGTCGACGATAGACAGTGCGGTAGAGCGCGAGCTTGGCCAGCGCGTCGTCCATGTTGCGTCCCGCGACGTAGCACACCTAGATCGTTAGAAAACTATCAAGTTGATACTTGGCGGGGACGACGCACGAGATCAATCTTTTTGGAGGACGTTGAGGCGAGGAGAGCGATGGCCTCGGCCTCACCCGGCGCTTGCACCACTGATGAAAATAGGAAATGATTGTGGGATATGGGAAAGTAGTGAGGACGCACTGTCCGTGAGGCCGAGCAAGTGAATGTACCGGCCGATCGCGTTGACGCCGTCGGTGGCGCTGCCCGTCACGAGAACCTCGGCCACGTGGGGCGGCTCAGCCACCCTAATGCACGTTTTCGTAGTAGTATTGTAGAGAGCGCAACGAACAGCATCTTTTTCTTGGTTGCTTGGATGATGTTTTTCAACAGCTTGCGCTCCTCGCGGACGATGGCGATGCCAGTGCGTTTGTACTCTTCGCTCGGCAGTGCTTCTGAGACCTCAACGACCGTCTCGTCCATGAAGGCGTCCGTGACGACAGCCGACACCTCGTCAAGGCTTGGCGCTGGCACAAGCTCCTCGATCGCGCGGACGTCGGGCACAACTACTTCTGGCGCAAGCGATACGGGTGTAGGCCCTCGAAATGGCGCAGACTCGGGCGAAACTGGTCGTCGGGGTGTTTCGATCTCGAGCTCAAAGCTCGGCGCCTCGATGATTGCCGGCTCGGGGGTGGGGGTCCTCGGTTCAATATGGACTACGGGAGGGGTCACTGTTCGGCGGGGGGGCGACGGCGTTGCCCGCGGTGGGGGTGTGACGGGCTTGGCAATCACGGGCGACGTAAGAGTACTTTGCTTTGTCGGGGTCGTAGGTCGTGGTGGTGTCGGGACGCGTGGTGGGTCCCGTGGTTTGGGGGGTGACTCTTCCAAAGGCGTCACAAGGACTTGGAAGGCCGTGTCGTCGGCAGTGAACGGCTTGGCGTCTGCGACGGGCGAGAATGACGGCTCGTCCTTTTGAATGAACGGTGCGACAATCGCATCGGTGCTTTTTTGAATCCACGCTTTTGCCTTTTCCACCGTCTTGGCGCCACTCGTCTCGATCACGTCGGCGTAGTACTGTAGTTAATTAGTTGCTCGCCCCACAGAATGCGATTATATGCCACCTCATTGTACGTGGCTTCGACTTGATGCGGCGGAACGTCGTCGAGGCCGTGCTTGTCGAGCTCACGCCGAATGCGCTCCAGCTCCAAGCGCGCCGTCTTTTGAATTTCCACCTATAAGATATGTTATGAGTTGCATAGCGTTTGTATCGACAATATTGGTGTACCCCTGTCTTGACGCAAAAGAGGTCGAACAGCTGGAGGTATTTTTCCGTCATGTTGCTGTCCGAGAGCATGCTGTCGGTGACCCCAAACTTGTGGAGCTCGGCTATGATGTTGTGCTTGAGCGTCTGCTGCGTTGTCGAGATGCCTTGGGCGCGAATGAAAACCGCGCGGATGCAGTCGATGGCTGCCGCGTCCGCGTCCACCAAGCCTTGCAGCGAGTCGAGACTGTTGACGTCGCCTGCCGTGACACGCGTGATGAGCTCCAGAATCTAAGCAATAAAAAAGTGATATACGGCAGACAATGGGGCGTACTTCAAAGAGCTCGGCGCCGAGGCGCTGGGTCGAGAGGTTGTTGTGTTCAATGTACTGCTGTCGAAGCTTCTCGACGTCGACGACATCGGCCTCTGCGAGGTCTCCGATCGTTTGGATCTTGGGTTTCACAAACTTTGCTATGTGGTTGAACGCACTCACGGCGGCCAATGGCACGCCGCTGGCAATGAGCTGCGCGGCGGACTTGGAGGCATCGGCGACGGCCACGCGCAAGACGCTGCCGTCAAAGAAGACCACTGTTCGAATCTACATAACCATCGATGAATCGCTTGCGTATGACGATTGTACCGTGATGCGCTCGTAGAGCAAGTGGAGAAACTGCACATACGTGGCTTCTTCTACGTCGCACGTCCAGAGGTCCACCTACGCACAGACGACACTATTGTCATTCACTCTACAGAACGACCCTAACCACAAAACAACGTACCAGTTCGAAGAACGCGTCGATAAACATGATGGCGTCCATGGCATTTTTGCCCTTCGAGTCGCTCGTCCAGTCCTTGCCGATTTGGTCGAGCGCTTCGTAAATGTCAAAATCGCGTGGCCGAAGCACCTTGAAGACGAGCAGCATCGCTTCCGCGTACTCGGTCTTGGTGATGACTTCGTCGCCAATGACGTGGAGCTTGGGGAAGATTTGCCAAAAGCGCATGATACCTTGCACGACGCGCGGCGCGCGGCGCAGCTGCCGTCGCTTGGACAAGCCAATGCCGTCGTCAAAGTCGGTCGTGCCCTGTAAATGGAACGGAATCGGCAGCTCCGTCTCGAGCTCGTGCTCAAACTGGGCCGACGACGGCGGCACCGCGCCTATCGCTGCGAGGTCGGCAAAGACCTCGACTGCCGTGTCGCCCGAGTTGTCGACGTCGGGAAGCGACTCGACGCGCCGACCGAGTTGCTTGAGCAGCGTGGCATCACGCGAGATGTCGACGGGCATTCCCGCGCCACGAACGGTTTCCACCCCGCGAAACCGGCGAGTAGACGGGACATCTTCGGACACGAAAGAAGACAGAGTGTCGTATTTCAAGTGGCTGAGGTATGCAGCCCGACGCGCTCGAACCATGCTGCTGGTCATAGCGTCAAGACCGCCACGCCGCCAGCTAGACGATGCCAACCGTCGACGACCATGAACGACTACAATACCCGAGGTCACTACGCCAGACCTACATGTATGAGCCCGTAGTCCAACAAAGCCCAAGAAGGGCCTGGCGAATCGATCAAGAGCTGTCTCAGCATCTTCAAGAAGGTAAATGATGCGTGCAACAACACGTCGACCGACTCCGGTGTCGCCACCGTTTCGGCAGGTCATCCAGTAGCATCCTGCTTCTATACTAGCCGGGTGATCAGAGTCTACTACGAGCGTCGGACAGCGTATACTCGCAATGGCACCGATGGCTTGGCCGTGGGGAGCATGCATGTGTGGGCTGAGGTCCTGGGGGCAATGTTGCGTGCGAATAGCCTCAAGGCGCCGCGCGCGGTGATTGGCCAAAATGCGGCCAGGCTGTCCGTCGAGCAAACTGCAATTTCATTTTTCGTGGTCGCCAACTTCTCGATGCTTCGCCACGCGCTGCTCAAGACCGCGGCCGCTCGCCGCCATGCGCCGGCCCGCTCCATGAGCCTCTTCTCCAAGTTCACGGAGCAGGTCAAGGAAGAGCTCGCCAAGCTCGAGAAGAACGAAGCGGTGCAGGAGGTCGTCAAGGAAACCGCAGACAAGTCCAAGGAAGCCCGTGACGAGTTCGAGAAGCGGGCCAAGGAGAAGCGCGAGGCCTTTGAGGCCGCGATGCGTGAGGTGCGCGAGCAAGCGGCTGCCGAGGCCGGCAAGAGCGAGTATGTCAAGGAGGCCAAGTCCAAGTTTTTCGACCCGCTCAACTCGGCGACGTCCAAGGTGCTTGGCGACACGTCGGGCGCCAAGGAGACGCTGGTCGAAACCTTCTTCGAGGTCTTTGGCGCCGGCAAGAAGAAGTCGGTCGAAGAGACGCTCACGTCGTCGCTCTCGGAGAAGAAGGTCACCAAGCCCGTGACCGACGACGACGAAGAGGAGGCTGCGCCGTACAGTGGCCCGACGGCCATGGTGCTCGTCAAGGGCGAGCAGACCGCGTGGGACCGTATCGGCGCGCGCCTCAAGGAAACACCGATCATCCAGGGCCTTCTCGAGGCCGCGCGTCTCGCCGCCAAGACCAAGGCCGGCCAGACCGTCGGGTCGGGCGCCAAGGTCGCCAAGGACAAGATTGGGGACGCCACCGAAGACGTGCGCGAGTACTGGGAGACGAGCCAGAACCCGTACGTCCCTCTGTCATCCTTCTACAAGTTGCTTATACGGTATGCATCAGGTGGGTCTACCGGCTCTCGTCGATCTACGATGGCCTCTTTGGCGAGACGGCCGAAAGCATTGCGATCCGCGAGATCCGCCGCGCCGACCCGTCGTTCAACGTCGAAGAGTGGAAGGACGTACGCGACTTGCATGTGTCACGATGCCAGCTCCTCATGCGGTTGGTAGAACGTGGCCGAGGCGGTCGTGCCGTTCGTGCTCGATGCGTTCCTCAAGGGCAACAGCCGCGACCTGAAAAAGTGGATGGGCGAAGCTGCGTACAGCACTGTCAACATGGCGATCCGCGAGCGCAAGACGGACGGTACGTCGCGTTGCCCGTCCTCGACCGTTTACTATCGTGGCATAGGCTTGGTCGTCGACCCGAACGTGCTCGCGATTCGCGATGTCACGGTCATCGCACTCTCGGTACGCCCTTGCTGACACCAACCGAATGCCCTCGACGTGCTTTGTGCAGGCTGAGGACAAGCAGGCGCCGGTCATTGGCCTCCAGCTCATGGCGCAGCAGATCCACTGCATTCGGAACCGCGAAGGCGAGATCATCGAAGGCGCCGAAGACGAGATCAAGGCCAACTTTTACGTGTTTGCGTTCCGCCGCGAGTACGACGAAGACGAGATGGCGCTGCGGTGGAAGATTGTCGAGTTTGGCGTCATTGGCTCGGTCCCGTACATTTAAACACGCCATAGTATCCAACGACAGCGACCACCAACATACAGATAGAGACACCCCCACCCCTATACACACTTTGTACTCGAAATACTCTTACGTTTAGTGGAAGAGCGCGGCGGCTGCGCGGGCGTTGGCGTCATCGTCGAGCACATCGGCGCCAAACACATACGCAGGCAGCTACGCAAGCGAGTCAGATCGACGTGGCATTGATAGCGCTGTGTACCTCGTCGGGCAAGACAAACGCCGGCGCGCACTCGTCATCGCCAAACGCAAAGGTCCCGAGCACGTCAAAGCGCAGGTTGAACTTTTGCTGCAGAAAGCTCTGGAGCTTCCGGGACGCGGTCAGCAGCTACGCGCCAAACGAACCATCGTCGTCGTCTCCTCAGTCGGGCGTACCTTGGGGTCGAGATTGTCGTCATGGAGGATCTCGAAAAGGGATGCGAGTGATGCTTGAAGAAAATTCTCTTGGGCGACTTCGTCTTGAAAAAATTCAGCGCCAACCTACGAGGAGCGTTAACGACGTGGTGTCATAACCTTAGACACATACTTGGTCGAGGTGGGTGTGCATGAGCTTGAGAAACGCGATGAAGAGGTCCGGCATCGACTCGACCGCAGCTTCGCTCGAGCAGAGCAGCCAGACCATCTATGTGCGGGCTAGGTTTACAAGTACTTGGAGCGAGATAGAGAGGCACCTGCTTCCACTGCGTGAGGGCGTCCAGCGACGAGATGAGGAGGAAGAGCACGAACGACAGCTGGAGCTCGCCGAGGAGTTCTTTCTACGCGATGACAAAATTGGGTTATTAGGAATAAGACAATAAGACAATATAACGAAACTAGATGGAATGACATACCCAGTCGTTGCTAAAGTGCTCGGCCAGTACGTGGTGGAGGTGCTCACTAGCAGTCGTATAAGGCCTCTTGTCCTCGCGATGAAGAGAGCGTCACCTCGAGTCGACATGAAACAGGGTGACTTCAGCGGCCGATCGCGACAGCGCCGGCTTCTTGAGCGGCGTGAACCGTGCGGTTTGCGCCGTGTTGGGAAAGTACGGCGTCAGCGTCGACGGTTCGTTGGTCGACATGACGTCCGGGTCGCCTGGCATGATGGTCGCGCCGAGCGTGATGCCGCAGCGCTAAGTACAACGTCGTCAACCATTGGTATTGATATAGGATGGAGCGTACGCGGAGCACGTTGGCCGAGATGTACTTGGAGAGGCGGCGCCATGTCTTGGCGTGCTTTTGCGGGTACGCGCCGAGGTTGCCATCGAGCTGGAAGCCGTGGACGGCGCCTAGTCGTATATCATAAGCTGGCATGTCGATGTCGTATCGCGCGCACGTGTGAGGTTCTCTGCGTCGCGCGCGTCCGTGAGTGGCAAGAGCTCTTCAGTCTCGTGCGACCACTTGCGCAGCGTGACGTCGCCGGCGTTCACATGGATGAAGAACCCTTGGCGGATCCCGTCTTGGTCGCCGCTGGAGGCGTAAAACACAAAGTGCAGCCCCGTCGGAAGGAGCTTGACGCCCTGGAAGCGCTCGGCGGTGCGAAAGGCCTCGTAGTCGACGCCAAACTCACTGCCGACCGGCACGTCCAAGCACACCAAGACGCCGACCTGCGCCATCGCTCAAATTTGACCTTCCAGCAGATATTGCTACATTTTATCCGGACGTACGGATAAAAGGACTTCAAATTTGGCGCCCCAATGCCAACAATGTGGTGTGCTGGCCAATGCAAGCACACGGAACGACTTGGACTTTGCTTCAGCTCAACAAGCATTTTATACACAGCGGTAGAGATTTGTTGCTAGGGAGACGTAGCGACTAGGCCATGGGCGCTTCCTTCTTCAAGCAGGCTCGGGCGAGTGCTTGGACCTCGGCCAGGACCGTCTTGATCGGGACGTTGGCGGCAAGCGCGAGCTTCTACGCACCTCAATGGTTGCACCATGTACGTACGCACACTATTGCGTCTACCTGGCAGTCGTCAAACTCTGGCTGGACGTTCACAGGCGCGCCGTTGAGATACCCCACCTACGCAGTACAATGAAGCTTGCTGTCAGCAGTTGCGATCCCACCTTGACCGAGGCCGGGCCATACAGCGAGGTGACCGTAAGGAACGACCGCTTGAGCACCGCTCGCTCCATCGTGCGCCTAGTGCAGTCGGCCAAGGCTAAGCGACGGTAGCAGTGATGGTACGACGTCGTACCGGCGAATGCCTAGGGTTGTGGTTTCGCAAAACAGCGTGTTGGAGAGCGCGTTGACGCCGTCAGGCTGGCAGAGCACGCTACCAAGTGTCGAGATAAGTCTTGACGCATCGACCGTGTGCGAGTACGAGAGAAGAATACCCGGTCGGTTCTTCTTCATCTGGTAAGAACTAGCATCAAAATCTGGAGCAACACATTGGTTAGAAGCACACCTGGATGGGCTGCCACCACACGTCCAGCGCCCCTTGTTCAAAGAGAAGCTCTTGGACGTGGCTTAGAATCTAAAAATCGAGCGTGTGATACCGTGTACCACAAATCTGGATGGAAAAATCGCACAACAACCTGCGGGTTCATGTCATCGAGGTTCGTCTCGAGGACGACAACGCTCTCGTCGTTGCTTGGGCTTGGCGTCGGACGACTCACTGGATGCGTCGCGTCACCAATGACGACGCGCACAATGTTGGCGTGGCCAGGAAAGTCCTTGGTGCCGGCGCCGCTCCCTGCGAAGGGTGATGGTTTGGTTGCCGGGTGGCTACCGCGTACCGTGCGTATGCGGGATGAACGCCGGTGGTGGGCCAAACGAGGTGGCCAGCGCCTTCATGAGACTCATGCCCGTCGGCGTCACGAGCTCTCCCGTTGCGCTAGAATAGCACGAAAAATGCCAAAACATAGAGGAAGCGACGAATTTGTACCCTTTGGGCGCCGGGATGACGGGGACGCCTTGCATGAGGTCGAGCGTCGCAGGCACGGGCACCGGCATGAGGCCGTGCATGCACTTGACAAAGCCGTTCGAGTACGGCAGCGGCGAGCAGTGCACCTCGTCGACGTGCAGAAGCTCGAGGGCGAGCACCGACCCGACCGTATCGATGATGCTGTCGATCGCACCGACTTCATGGAAATGCACCTACGCACGCTGTCAAGAAACAATGAAGACGATGGTGAGTACGTGGTCGACGCTGGTTCCATGGGCGCGGGCTTCGGCGCGCGCCAAGCACGCAAACACGTCCTTGCTCTTCTCTCGCACCCATGGCGAGAGTCCACTGGCGTCCAGCATCGCACAGATACTCGCCAAATTGCGCTCGTGGTCGTGGGCATGGTCGTGATCCTCGTCGTCATCATGGTCATGGTGATGCCCATGACCGTGGCTATGATCATGGTGGTGGTCATGATCATGGTGGTGGTCATGATCATGATCATGGTGGTGGTCACGGGGCGGGGTCCCTGGAGGTGCCGTCGGCGCGTGCTTGTGCACGGACGAGACATTGACTTTGGTGGCGGCGATGCGGCCCGTGCTCTTCCAGACGCGCTCGGTGGCGAGGCCCCACTCGCCGCGGATGGCAAAGATGGTCGCGAGGCCGGCCTCAATGTCGGCGATCGGGGCGCCCTAGCGCAGCCCCTCATGAGCTAACAAGGCAGCGAAGAAGACACACAGCATCGATGAGCGACGCGAGGATCATGTCGCCGGCGGCGCCGGCTGAGCAGTCGAAGTACGCAATCTTGGTCATGGCAAAAATCGAAGAGTGCACTTTGACCAATCAAAGCGACGTATCTTCCCGATCTTTTTCCGGATCGTGTTGAAGTTGCCAGATGCTCGTCTTCCTGACATCTTATTGTCTTATCGGCTATGCGACAATGAGATAATACTAGGTTTATAACCACACGCTGCAAGCCTTCTCGACTCTTCTGGAAACGGTGTTGGCTTGCATCGTATTTGCAGGTCTGGGGCACCATGGACAACGCTTCTTTGTGGGAAAACTCGAGTTGTAGTATAGCTATGTGATGGACTCGTACGCTTGTTTCTTGGTATCAAAGACGCATTATTCAACAATCGAATGATTTTTGACTTAGCCTCTGAACCGAAACAACCAGATGAGGAGTATCCAGAACGGCAGCCACACTGCGCTTGTAGTCGCGAGAGCTTTCGAGCCCAAGATCTGCGCAATCAACATAAAGCTGATTAGAGGCAGCGACGCTCCGTATTGCACAACTCGGGTCCACCGTGCGTGCGACCACATTCGGCAGAGGAGGAGGACTGCGGCGGCGTCGATCGTGACAGTGTCGTCGCCCGCAACACACCCGACGACACGCTTGGCTTGCGTCGCCGTTGTCAACACGCTTCTCTTGTGTCGCCGTTGTCAACACAATCTCGGGTGTCGTTGAGAAGCGCGAGGCGAGGATCTCAAGCTGGGATCCGATGGCGGCCAAGTGCCACGTAAACCCAACGAGGTCGCTGCACCAGCCGCCCGTCGCCTCAACCGTCGCAGGCTGCTTCAAGAAGGGGCTCGTGACTTCGATTAACTCACGTACTAGTATGCAGCGCACGGCACCGATGACGTGGCAGTCCCATACGCCGTCGCCAGTTACACAGCGCCAGTTGCATAACGACTGTCCGTCGTATATCCGGCGTGTACACTCGCTTCAAAGTGCCCACGCAATCGAATGCAGAGCCCGCTACCAATGAGCCCGATGACGCGTCCGCCGCTCAAGCTGCCTCCACGCGGTGGCCCCATGAGCCCGCCGCCGCCGTCGAGGCTGCCCGTCCCCGCGCCGCGGCCCACCGAGTGGCACGAGTCGCCAGCGCCTCTCATCGACATGTCGCAAACTGCATCCTGGCTGCGAGACGACGACGCGATTTTCGGGGCGTACGAAGCGCGCCAAGCTCCCTACAACTATCAAAGCGTCCAGCGCCCAGCGCCACCCAAGCCGGACAACGCAGCGCTCCATCGGCAGTGCGTCGATGCGATGGCCTTTTACGCCAAGCAAGTCGATGCGCGGCGCATGCAAATGGACAAACTCAAACTGTACGCGCCACGCAAGGCGTCCGAGGTCTTTCCCGTGGCTGCCTACGACAGTAGGCTGAATATGACGCCTCGGACGACGACGACGTCACCACCATCGTCGTCGTCGTCGCTACATAGTCTTTCTCCCGTCGATGCTAGCACACGAGACGCAGCGCCTGACGACGATGTATACTCGCATGTCCAACAAGTGCTTCGCTTTGAAGCACTTAGCCCGCCATCGTCGCCCATGACCGACTCGCCATCGATACCGGTTCCGAGTTCAACGGACGACACATCGCTTCGTCTCTAGTCCCGAGACCCACCTCGTTGTTTCAATGTATTTGTACATATTAGATGTAAAGGAATGACAATGTGTTGACGTTAGACTAGAAGACGGCAGTGCGTGTCGCATGGTATACCAAGTGGTGCTACACGGTGAATACGGACCCAGTGTGCTGCTGTGTGGCCCGCGTTGTTAAGGTGCAGGCACGTTAACCGTCCACGCGTGCGCCGTCGTTGGTTGGCCATTGACAGGCGGCGTGCATGCGAGATACGGTGTCATCGCATCGTTCTCTGGGACGCAACTCGGACACGGACGCACAAAGTTGCCGTTCATGTCGCGAAGCGCAACGCAGTTGTCACCGACGTCGACGCACGCAAAGCTCGTCTCTGGCGTTGACGCGTCGTTATAGGGTATGACGAGGTTTGTGAACGCCGATGGGTCGATGAGGATGCCAAAGTAGTTGGGAACGTCGTCGTGCAGCGCAAACGTCCCGGAACTTGTCGAGAGAACTGTCAAGCTCGTGGGCACGTCCGTCGCCAGCGCCAAGTAATTGTCCAAGCTCCAATACCCAAAGTCCGCAGCAAAGAGCGTGATGATGGCTCCGTCGACAAACGCGCTGCAGGGGCTTGGTGGTGGCAGCGGCGACGGCGTCAAGGACGGGGCCATGGACGGTACTTTGCCACACGCGCCACCGGCCGCAGCGAGTGTAAGGCTGGCTAGAAAGAGTGCAGCGAGCAAGGACGGCATGGCAAAAGCAGATATGTGCGGCTATAAGAACGTGGCGGACGAGATCCGCGAGGTGCCGGCACCTTCCGCACTGAGATTGATCGGCTACTCACGCAGCGTACTAATACCGGCGGGTCTGAGTACCTCTGCATACGGACTGAGTCGCCGGCATTGCAACAGGCCCCGTCGACCCGTGCCTGCCGCGCGACGATCTCCTCATGTCATGCTGGCAACAGCAGTGCAAGATATGGCTGGCGTCAGCCAATCAAGGCGACCATTCTATATTTTTCGACCAATCACATGACGCGCAATTCGTTTCCGTGGTTTGACTGCATGGCCCGTCGTCTCGCTCTCCTTTGGCTCGTGCTCGTCGGGCTCGCCGTCGCAGAGACGGATCAAGCATGCGCCTCGTCGCTCAACATCATCGTCCACGCGCAGGCCCACTCGTCGACAGACGTGCTCGTCATCGGCTCTGAAATGACCTGCGCTGGCTTCCAAGCCGCCTTTGTCGCCGACGGCCACCACGTACAGCTCATGTACCCCAGCAGCTACGGCGCGCTTCAAGATCGTGTGTGGGATATCGTCTTCATCGAGGGCTGGTTCCCCGCGATCACGGCCTTCATCCACGAGATCCGACGGGCCACACACGGGCACGCCCGTGTGTATTTCTACTGCTTGGACCCCGACTTTCCCGGTTGCCATTGACGCCCATGCCAATACCGTTGGCTTATGCACCGTAGGTCTCAGCACGTTGCAGATGCTGGACGTGGACGGCTTCTTTGTCAACAGCCACGACGCGCTGCAGCATCTATCCCCGTTTGCGGCCGTGACCGAGTACTTGCTCTTGGCCGCGACACCGCCGCCGCCAGCTCCAGCCTATAATCCGTACACCGCCATCCCTCCTGTCGTCTACGTCGGCAACGCCGTTGGCATCATGACCAAGCAGCATCTCGCATCCATGCTGCGAGAGGCGATTCCCTTTGGCCTTCGCATCTATGGCTACGCGTGGGAGATGCACCCCGAGTTTGCACCGTTCTGGGCCGGTGTCTTGCCAGCCGCCGACTTGTGGGACGTCTATCACGCGGCCAAAGTGGTTCTTGGCGCGACGATGGACGGGCAGCGCGCATCCGGCATGATCAACAACCGGGTCTTTGAGGCGCTCGCCGTCGGGCGCATCTTGATCAGCGATCACTCGTCGGCGCTCGAGGCCCTCGTCGGCGACCGTGTGCTCTACTACAAGGCGCCTGGCGACATGACGCGTCATTTGGCACAGCTCGTGACGACCGACTATGCATATTCCTACTCGCCAGACGACTTGGCGGCATATATACGCACCCACCACACGTACGCCCCGCGCGCAGCGTTCGTTCTCGCGACACACCGTCAGCTCTCACCGCGCGACAGCGACCGCATTCACAAACCCAAGCTCTTGGTCGTAATGGACGACATTTGGCTGGCGTCGCACTTGCTGAGTGCGCTGTTCGTACACGATGTGGTACTGCCGGCGCTGGCCACACTCGAGCGCCTCTTCCTTGTCCATATAAGCAGCGAGCTTTCGACATTCACGACAGCAGCGATGCAACCGCATGATCTCGTGCTGCTGCTCAGTGCGTACGACAGTGCCTTGGAGCGAACCTTCCGCTTCATGGCGCTGCCGTGCGCCAAGGGGCTCTTCCTCCTCGCGCCACTACGATACAACGACGGGTTTGAAAAGGAGGGCGCCTTGTATGACATTGTGTACTTTACGCAGCCCGATCAATTCGACCAAGTGCGGCGCGCCCGCACCAACGTCCAGAACGCCTTCGGATGGCCAGTAGCTATCGCGTCCGTGGAACCACCGTCCGTGCCGTGCGACGTGCTCATCGTTGGCGACTGGGACGACGATGAGCAGCGCCTGCTGCGTCTGTTCGGGGACCTCGACCAAGGTCTACGTATCACGGTGGTCGTGCCCGAGCGGCATGCCCACGACGCCCGTTATGCAATGACGCAGCTCGCGTCGATGGGCATACGCGTGGCCTACGCCGCCCCTGGCAACGACTCGCTGCATCGCCTTTTAGCGCGTCACGACTGCGATGCGATCTTCATTCCGGGGACCCAGGACGTCGGTGGCACCGACTATTTGCTCGCGATGGGACTTGCGCATGGGCATACGGTGCGTGTGCAGCCGGACAACGACCGACTCCAACGTCTCTTTCAGCGCTTGACAAGTACGGACCCGCCGACATGGGACGTGGCGCATGTGGCTTCGATGCTGGCCATTGGCAAGACGCGGCCGCTGGTCCTCGGCCGTGGCAACGCCAGCGTCTCGATGGTACCCCTTCCTCTTGTGCTACATGCGAGACGCATCTGTGTATGCGCTGTAGGTAGTCTCAGAGTCGTGCATGCATCACAGGGGTAGCGTCGACGTGTTCTTTGAGACCCACAACTTTGAGCCGCCGGCGGACGGCGTCGTGTGCTTGCTTATCGACGGCGCCGCCTACGGCTGCGTCCTCCACACTGGCATGCACTTTTACGTGCGCTTGCCGATCGGCTCGAGGAACGTGACGCTGCAGATGGCGCTGCGCAGTATCGTGTTTGACGATGTATTTGCGCGGTCGCCGCCGATCGTGCTGGCGGCGTCGCCCGAGCGCGCGCCGCTGGCGCCGCCGACTTCGACACGCTATGTGATCGACTTGGCCGATAGTACGTAGTAGTCAGAGATGTCGACGCCGTACAATAGGAATAGGCGTATTAAAAAGAGGCTGTCCCGCCATGTGCTTAGACGTCTTCTTCGTCGTAGCCGTCGTCGCCCGTGAACGAGCTCGAAAACTTGACGATCGCGCGGCCGATCGCGCCGATCCATGCGTCCTTCTTCTCTTCGCTCTCGGCGTGCATGTAGTACGTCGACTCGGGCGTCGCAATCTCAAAGCAGAAGCGCTTGTTGGTCTTCTCCTCGGCCGACTTGACCGTCAAGCACTCGGAGAGGTCGATCATGCCATGCGGCGCCTCGCCCTGCGCCCGGCAAAAGTAGAGCTTGTTACCCTTGAGCACGAAGTAGCGCGCTCGCCACTCCTTGAGCCACACGCTGCGCTTCGTGAGCTCGCCCTCAAAGTCGGGCTGCGCGAGGTCGGCCACTGCGTCCATCTCGTCACAAAGCAAATAAATTCGAAGCCGGCGTCAATTCTATGGAAAGCGGTCAGATGCTTGCTACAGTAGCGGTTTCTTGCTGATAAATCGATGGACCATACAATTTGAAAGGTATAAAAACACAGCACTCAATTACAGCCATCAATTGACCCATGGACGATATCGTGGTCTGAAGGAATACGGCGCGAGGAAGGATGCCTGCAGGCAGGCGGTGCGGATCCTGTCCTATCGCAATAGCTTCCAACACCAACTGCAAATGGCTGGGCTATCGTAACAAATTTGTTGTTGTGAAATACCCTTGGTCTTGCTGGACTACAGCGTTGCATTTCAGCAATGATCTGACCCTGTTCAAGGTTCATGCCGCTAACCATAACCGGCCCATACAAATGACAACATGTTTCAAACGTAACATCTAAATACACGCAACTTCAACTTGTTCCGGAATCGCCCACGGGCCGACGTACTGCGCGACAATGAGATCGAGAACGTCCATGGGCAGCTTGGTGCGCTGGAGCGCAGCGCGAGGGTCCTTGCAGATAGGACGCAGACAACGCCACGCCAAGTCGCAGAGTATGTGGTGGGCGCTGCGACCTTCGTTGCGCTTCTTCTCCCAGTAGGACAGCGTCGCGATCGTTCGTATCATGTCTTTGGCGAGCGGATCCTCGGCTGCTGCGTGGGCAGCTGCGTGCGCAAAGGTCGCGGCGACGGATGCAGCAATCATTGCACTCGTGCGTCCTTCCTTGTCTCTAAGGTCTGTGCGTGCACCGTGCGCGAGTAGAACAAGGACGACGTTCCAGCGACCAAAACTCGATGCGAGGTGCAGCGGCGTGTGTCCGTGGACGTTGACGGCATCGACGAGGGCTCCGTGCATTAGCAAAGTTGTTGCCGTCTCGGGCAAAGAGGTCAGGTGCAGTGGAGTGTTACCGGCCTTTGTTCTCGCGAGAACATTTGCGCCGTGTTGAAGAAGGCTCTTGGCTACTGCGGCAGAGGCGGATCGGTGCAGAGGCGTTGCGCCGTCGAGGCGCTTGCTGTGAACCGAAGCGCCGTGTGCCAGCAGCAGCAGCGCAATCTCGTACGATGATGTCAAATGGAGCGGCGTCGCATCGTCGTTGTCGAGGCAGTTAACGCGGACACCATGGCGGAGGAGTAGCGACGTCGACAGCGCGTCGTTGATTGCGGCAGATTGGTGCAAGAGCGTCTTGCCGGGCCGGCGGTACGAGTACTCGTTGACGTCGATCGT